GCCCTAGCGCCGGCCACATCCATGATTGAGTCTGTTGCTCTCGCTTCAGCGCCGGCCAGATTCTTCATTGGAAACGAAGAGGGAAGAGGGATTAGTGATACAGTTGGCACTTTTGCATTGCATGTTGCTGTGTCGCCCCATTCTTGTGCATCATTTGCTACAGCGCGCGCGTGACACACTGGTGTCGCCGACCCGCTGGCCACGTTCACTTGAATGGGTCAGGTTACCCTTGGCGCAGTGTCGACAGGGTCTGGGCCAGGTCAGGGCAGGGATTGGCTGCGTTAGAGGATCGGGGTTGTAACGACCCTTCCCGCCAGCGCGGGTCAGCTTCCAGCAGCCACCGCTGGTGGCTTTCAGCCAGCCGCCCTACGACCTCGTCCTGTACTGAGCGTGACACCCCCACCCTGGCAACGGCCTCTCTGGCCGGTGCCCTCCCCTCCCTGCCCTCGTGACTTTCTCCTCTCGTGCGCCTACTCGGTACCCCCCCTGAAGGCCCCCAACCTGTGCTCGGGGCCTGCCCGCCGCCCTCTCCTCCCTGCCCTCGTGGCTGCTTTCCTCGCGCACCTGTTCGATTCCCCCCCCCGCCAGCCTCCTGCCGCTCGAGGCTTGCCTTTTTGTCTCGCCCATGCGCGGGGCCCGCCCGCTCCCGAGCCGGCGCTCGGCTGGTTCCCGCCGCGGCCGCCCTGCCCAGGTTGGCCCCGTCACCGCTGGCTGGTCTTGCCGCCCGCTCGCGACCTGCGGGCCGCCTCTCCTGCCCGCCTGGGGGGTGCCCTGCCCCGCCGCCGCCCACGCCTCGTGGGGCGCCGGCCTCCTGCCGGTTTTGCCCAGGCCCTGCCTGCGGCACCCCTCTGGCCCTTGCCGTGCTTCGCTGCCTGGGCGGCACTCGCTTCAGTGCCTGTCCCCCCCCCCCCCTGCCTGGTCTTGTGGCCACCTCCCCAGCGCCGGCCACGGGTGGCTGGCCGCTGTCGCTCCTTCGTCCATTCGCTGCGTCGGCGGCTGCTCAGTTGGCTCTCTGCCTCTGGGTTCCTCCGCTCGCTTTCTTGGCTTGCCGCCCTCCACTGGGCGCCGCCTTCCCGCCCGCTGCTGGCTGGCGTCCGGGTTCGGCGCCCTCCCCTCTCGTTCTGTTCTGCCTGCTTGGGCCCGCCGCTCCCCCACTTGGCGGTGCTCTTCCACCCTTGCCCCGGATGCCGCACCGCGCCCCGCTGGGCCGCCCCCTCTTCCGCGCCTTCCCTGCTCTGCCTGGTCTCGGCGCTCCCCACCGTTGCCGATGTCGGGGCTCCTTCCCGTCGGCGCGGGTCGAGGTCCTGGCCGCTCGTCTGCTCCCCCGTCCTGCCGCCGCCCTTCCTTGGCCGCTCTCGTTCTGCTCTTCCTGGGCGGTGCCTCCCCGGCCGTCGCCCCCGCGCCCGCGCCTCGCAGGCCCACGGGTCTCGGCGATTCGCTTTCTCTCTGGACCGTGCCTTGGTTCACTGCGGTGGGCGCCGCCCCCTCGGGCGCCCTTCCTCTGCTCGGCTCTGTGCCGCTTGGCACCTGCTTCTGCTTCTCCGCGCTCGGTGCCGCCCAGCACCCCTCCTTGTGCCCGCGGCGCAGCGCCTGCTGCCGAGGCTGGCCCGGTTGGCCTCCTTCCTCCCTATCCTTGCACGCATCTCTCAGGCCCGCTGGTCTCGGTGTTTTGGCCCATCCCTGGACTGTGCTCGATCCTCCGGGTTGGGCTCCGTTTCGTTTTCTCTTCACCACCAGCTGCAGCTCCTGGCTGCCCCCCCAGCTTCAGCTCAGTGCAGTTCAGTACAGCCTGTGCCGGCGCTGCTCCCCCCTCCGGCGCTCCCCCCGCCGCTGCGGGCAGGCCCAGGCTCCTCTCTCCCTGTCGCGCCGGGGCTCCTCCTCCTCCTCCTCCTCCTCCTCCTCCTCCTCCTCCTTCCGTGCACTGCGGCCCTAATTTGCATACAGCGTGCCCCCTGTAGCCTCTCCGCCGGAGCATTCGACCTCTGCCCAGCCGCCGACGCCAAATGTGTGTGTGTGTGTGTGTGTGTGTGTGTGTGTGTGTGTGTGTGTGCGTGCGTGCGTGCGTGCGTGCGTGCGTGCGTGCGTGCGTGCGTGCGTGCGTGCGTGCGTGCGTGCGTGCGTGCGTGCGTGCGTGCGTGTGTGTGTGTGTGTGTGTGTGTGTGTGTGTGTGTGTGTGTGTGTGTGCGTGCGTGCGTGCGTGTGTGTGTGTGTGTGTGTGTGTGTGTGTGTGTGTGTGTGTGTGTGTGCGTGTCTGTCTTCCCCTCGTCCCCTCTCTCTTCGGCTGCTCCCCTCGCGACTGCCTCTCCGCGAGCGATGCTGTCGATCCCTTAGGGGCGGATCCAGTATCTCCACGCCGCGTGATCTGGGCCAGCTGCGCGCGTCCTGTCGCCCGCCTTTCTACGCCGCGCCGCTTCCGCGCCGCGCGTGGCCGCGAAGCCCAAAACACATTGTGTGTGTGTGTGCTGCTCCGTGCCTCTCGTCGCTCTGCTGCTCGGCCGCGTCCGCCGTTCCCTTGCCTGCCGCTTGGTCCGCCCGCGGTTGGCGCTGCGCTTTCCTGGCCTGCCTTGCCCCTCGACCTCGCCAGCCTGCCTTCGTCGTCGCTCGTCACCCCAACATACTTATACCATGTGTGCGCTGCCCCCCCAGGGGCGACGCGCGGGCCGGGACATATCATGGTATATGCGTTGTGGCGGGCGTTTTTTTTTTTTTTTTTTTTTTTTTTTTTTTTTGCCACACCGCTCGTGAAAGGAGGATTTACAATATGGGTACATTATATGTCCGAGTTGGACGCGCGCCTCCAAGGAGGACGCATCGTACTAGTAGGTCTCTGTGTGTCCCACTCCTGGCTGGTTTCGCTTTGCCTTGCTTCGCCATCGCGTAATGTCGTGCTGGCCCGACGGCGTATCTCTGCGCTTTCGCTTCCCCTTGTTGCTCGCGCTGCTCACCCTTACGTATGCGCATGGCGCGGTTGATCCTCTCGAGTGGGTCCCCACTCGTTTCGCCGAGGGGCTGGCCGCGCGCGTCCGCTGCTTTGCTTCTCCCGACTTTCTAAGCCCCGTCGCTGCGCGCGAAGCCGCGGCACCAATACATACATATATGTATATACGTATGTATATATATATATATATATGAATAAATATGAGAACGGGAGAGAGAGAGAGAGAGAGAGAGAGAGAACGCGTTTCACGCGCGCTTGCCTAAGGAACAATCGGCGGCGCGTTTCGAACGGGGGGGTGCCCCCCCCAACACTCGGCGCCGTCAATCAAAACCAGAGGGGGCTTCCCTCCACCCAACCCCCCCTTCCTTTCGGCGCTGGCGCCGGCGCCGGCGGTCGCCAGCAGCGCCGACGGCCAGGACGCAGCGACGATGACCAGAGGCAACCCAGAACGGGGTGGGTGGGTTAAACCCCCCCCCCCTGCGCCGAAAGGGGGGGGTTCAACCCCCCCCTTGGCGCCGGCGCCGGCGCTGGCGCCGGCGACGGCGGGGACGCAGCGACAGTAACCACCATTACCACCACCACCATCACCACCACCACCACCGCCTCAACCCACCACCACCGCCACCAACCCACCACATAACCACCACCACCACCACCACAGCCACCACCACCACTGCCACCACCACCACAACTCACCATCGCCACCACCACAAAAACCACCACCAGTACCACCACCACAATACCACGCTACCACCACCACCCCGCCACAACCACCACCATTACCAGCATCACAACCCACCACCACCACCATCACAGACCACCACACCACCACCACCACCGCCACCACCACCATCAGCACCAGTTCCACAAACCACCGCCTCCACCACTACCGCCACCACCACTACCACAAAACACCACACCATCACCAAACCACCACCACCACCACAACCCATCACCACCACCACCACAACCACAAACCACCACCACACCACCACCACCACCACACCACCACCAACCCCACCACCACCCCACCCACCACCACCACCACCACCACCACCACCACCACCACCCCGACCCCCAGCACCACCACCACCACCACCACACCACCACCACCACCACCACCACCACCACCACCACCACCACCACCACCACCACCACCACCACCACCACCACCACCACCACCACCACCACCACCACCACCACCACCACCCACCAGCACCCACCGGCCTAACCACCACCACAACAAAGCATCACACCACCACCGCCACAACCATAACCACCGCCACCACCACCACAACCCACCACCATCACCACCACAACCACCACCACCACCACCACTGGCCACCACCGTCGTCCTCGTCGACGCCTCGCCGCTGCCGCCCGCCGCCGCAGGCGCTGGCGCCGTCGCAGAAAATGAAATCGGCGTCCCCGCCGCCGCCGACGCAGGCGTTGGCCCGAGGAGAGGGAGAGAAGATAAGTAGGGGAGGAAGGGGGTGGGGGGTGGGGTTCGAGCCCCCCTCCCCCTCCGTCACGGGAGGGGTGGGGGCGTTCGAGCCGTCCCCCCCCCTCTCCATCCAGGGGGGGGGATCCGGTTCTCCGTCCAAGCGACCACGGAACGCGCTCTTTCATACATATATATGTACACATACACATATATATATATATATATATATATATCTATAATTATATATATATGTATATATATCAATGTATATATATATATATATCTATATCTATATCTCTATATGTACTTATATATATATATATCTATATATATGTATACATATATATATATATATCTATATATATATCTCTCTCTCTCTCTATATATATATATATGTATATCTATATCTATATATATATATATGTATATATATATATATATATCTTTATCTATCTCTATATCTATATATATATATATATATATATATATATATATATCTATATCTTTATATATATATATATATATATATCATATCGTATCATATATATATGCAGATGTGTGTGTGTGTGTGTGTGTGAGTGGGGGGGGTCTTTTGGGGAGGGCCGCCCGGCGTGCCAGGGAGCAGGCACCTGACGCTGCCGGCCCGCCGCCGCCCGCGCCCCCCGGTGGCCGCCCTCGCGGCAGGCGATCGCGTCGCGCCGCGGTTGCGGCGGTGGAAGAGTCGGGGGAGCGTAAGACCCGGGTTTGCCAGGACTCGGGTTCGCCATCGTTTTTTGACGACCGCGCCTCGGGTTTTGACGAGGAGGAGTTTCGTGGGATGTCTGCAGCGGGAGGCCTCGTCAAAATGCAGGTTCGGCCTCGTCATTTTTTTGACGACCTCGTCGGGGATTTCCGAGTCCCCTGTACCCAGGTCTTACGTCCCCCTGAAAGTGGGGCGCGGTCAAGACGATGGAGAGCGTTTTTTTTTATCCCTTGGCGACAACGGGCTTGGCCAGGGGGGGAGGTGGGGGCGGGCTTGTGACGTCGCGATTCGGGCCGGCGCCGTCTGGGAATGCTCCGGGATGGCTCATCCCCAGATGGCGCCAGCGCGAATCGTGACGTGACCAGGAGGGGAGGGAGAGGGGGGGGGCGAGGCCAGACCCGGGCGGTATCGCGAATATTTTAAAGGTGGGCTCCAAAACGTTGAAGCCAGGACCAGTTCGGATTCAGGGGTCGGGGGAGAGCCCGAGGGGGAAGCGAGAAGGGGCAGGCTTTGTCGGAAGGTGGCGGAGAAGGCTTACGCAAATTTCTCGGTGGTCGTCTGCACCTTCTGAGTAGCCTCCGCCCGTCCCCCTCGACTGGCCGCCAAAGGCCTGGCTCTGGTTTTCGAACCGTTCTCTGGGTTACGCAGTGGAGAAGCGTCCTGGCTCGCCTATAGGCCGACCAATCCATGTTCTAAGAACCTTTGGTGGTTTCCACGAAATGTTATACATTTATGGTTGGGACTGTTTTGTTTTAGCACATCGGGCTTATGTTCTAAGAACATTGCTTTTGTTCTTAAAACACTTGGGTTCTAAGGGAATTTCGTGGTAGGCCTATAGGAATGCCGGGACGGTCGGTCCCTGCTCAATTGGGTCTGGGTCGGGGGCCTTGTCGTGGGCCAGGCTCGCAGTGGGCCAGAAAGACCCATTCGTTGCTTACCTGCACTTCTTTGAGTAGAGCGATGACTGTAGGGCGAAGGGCCTTGAGATCCACGCGGCGCAACGCATGGCGCGGTGGCCGTATTTCTGGCGCCTGGAGTTCGTTTCCGTTCGTGGAGCTGTTGCTTCGCAGCGTTCAGTGGGCGGAGTACGGCTACAAGCGCAGGCTCTTCCGGATGGACGGGCAGGTCGACGCCTTCCTCCAGGACTAGTTTTTGTATCTGGGGGTGGGCGAGACGCGCGGCCAGCCGATGCTCTGTCCTCTCTTCGAGAAGTTCGTGGCGCCGGAAATCCACCGCGAGAGCACCATCGCGAAGGAACCCAGGAAACCCAACGAGGAGATGAGGCCGCAGGCTGATCAAGCCTCGCACGTGCAGCGGCCGCCGCCGCCTGCCGACGCAGCTGGGTCTGCTGCAGCCACCCGACGTGAAGGGGAATACCAAAACAACAGAGAGCTACTTCCTCTGGCTCCGCCGTTTCCTCCGGAATATCAATGTTGTTCACAGGCTTTCGGGTGCCGCTCAGTGCGACGTCGTTTACATGTTCGGCGGCATTTGCAAGTTGGGGTTAATTCAGCAGTGGAGTGTCTTGACGATGTGTTCGCTTGCGCAATCCATCCTCCACCTGGCCTCGGAGAGTCTCTTATTCGGGGGACATGCGTGAAGATCCTCGCCGACATCTACAAGTCCATGCCACCGCCACATTGCGCAGCCGCGCAAGCCCTCGGCGAGCTTGGCGGCAGTCGTCCTGGTTACGCAGACAGTGGCCCTAGACGCAACTTCCATCCGAACTTGGTCTCGTTGCCCTGTGTGTGCGGCCTCGCGGACGGCGAGCAGGTACTGTCCAGGCTGGCTTTACAACGGTGGAGGTCTATCTCGACTAGCTTGCGCACTGGGGCTCGTGCGAGCTCACCTACGACTGCCCGCGCAATTCAACTGCATAGCGATTCTGCTCTCGTGAAGGAAAATGCGGGCTACGCCGCCCTAGCCAACTTCATCGTGCAAATGTTCAAGGATGGTTTGATCACCATCCGCGACGAGCGCGCGGCCAGCGTGGGCATCTTCCTCGCGGCGAAGACGGGTGGGCGGTTGCGCAAGATACTCGACACCAGGGCCGTGAACGACCTGTTCGAAGAGCCCGCGCGCTCTCGCCTGCCCGCGTCCGCGTCCTGGGCCTCGGTCGAGATCGGCATCGCCGACGACCTCGTCCTGTCACAGATGGACGTTGGCAACGTCCCTTACCGCTGCAAGGCGCTGCCTGGTGTCTCCGGCTACTTCGCACTTCGTCGAGTTCCAGCCAAGCATCTCCATCGTGCTGATCCCAAGCAGTCAGGCCATCGCGGGCTGCCCGCCTCTGGCTGCGTCGCCCCGCGCTTGGAGGTCATGGCCATGGCGTGGTCTTTGGCGCTCTACTTCTGTTGCGTCGCAGTGACGGCCGGCGCCCTTCGAGCTGTTCCAGGTGAGGCTTTCTTGCTGGATAAGAAGCAGGCGCCCGACATCACGGGCGACAAGTTCGGCGTGGCCATCTACGCGGGCAGCGCGGGGTCGTCGGCGCGGACGACGGCGTCGCGAGAGACATGGCCCGCAAGCTGTGCGCTCAGCTTGCCTCCGACGGGCTGCAGTGCGAGGAGATTGAGCACGCGTGGCCCGAGGCCCAGTTCACTGGCATGACGCTCGACTGGGCCAGCGGCCGCATCTCCGTTGGCCGCCGCCGCTGCTGGGATCATCCATGGCCCCAGCTTCAGATTTCGCATCGGGATGGATTCCTTCAGAGTTCAAGTCTGCCGACGCCGCTTCACGGCTCAAGGCTGGGCCGCCCGTGTTGGGCGGCGGCGTGCCGCGGGGCGCTCGCCCCCTCTGGGCAGCCCGAGGCGCCGAAGTGTGCGCCGCGCTCCGTTCTGCTGTCGATTCGCTCGCCAGGGCCAGCAGCCGGGCAGAAGCCGCGCTCGAGTTCGACGACGGGCGCTGGCGCCCGAGCAGCTGTATTCACCCGCCGGGATCATCGGTCGATTGGCGCTGCTGGGTCGACGACGGCGAGTTTGAGGATGCCGATTCTGACAGCTCCATCGCAGAGACTGACATCCAGGAGCCTGCCCATGCCCGTCGAATGGACCTGTGACAGAGGTCAGCCACCAGCCTGTGGGCCAGCTGCGAAAGCAGAGAGCCAAGCGCAGGCGGCTAGCCCGCCAGGACGAGGCTCGCCAAGCTCGGAGTTTCGTCCGGTACTTCTTCTTGGAGGTGAACAAGGTGACGCGTCCTTCAGCCTTGATGTGCGACAGGTACTTTCGGGACTTCCAGACGTGGGCCAGCGACGACTGCCTTCCGCTGAACTCCAGCGAGGACATCAGCACCGCGATGCCCGAGTACCTGGGGGCCCTTCTTCCGGGACAACAACCGCGACTCGGGCGAGATGGTGGTCGCCGCGCTGGCGTGCAGGGCGCCTAGCATTCGCCGCGCGAAGGTCCTCGACAGGGCCGAGATCGCGCCGAAGGGCTTCAGGGGGCTGGCGCCAGGGCTCAGCCGCGCACCTCTGCCCTCGATAGAGCTGTGTGCGCTAGTGGGTGCTGCTCTTCGCACCGACGAGCTGAAGTTAGCTTGGTGCCTCGTCTTTCTTTTCCACGCCTACTTGAGGCCGAGCGAGAGCCTGGGGCTTCGGGTGCGCCAAGTGGTTCCTCCCCTGGCAGGGTCGGGCGCGCAGTGTCGAGCCGTGCTTCTGGCCCCAGAGGAGGAGGCGATCCCGACCAGGACACGAGTTCGACGTGAGCCTCCTTCTCCTCGACGGCCGCGGGCTGGTGCACCTGTGCCCCCGCTTCTCAACCTTGAAGAAGCGCTCGAGCCGCGGCATGGCGTGGTCCTTCGACAGTCGGACATTCTCGAGCCAGTTCAAGCGCGTCGCCGAGCTGGCGGGTCTTGGGCGGGCCAACCTCCACCCGTGCACGATGCGGCGCGGGGGGGCCATCGACGACGTTTTACGGCAGACTTGCAGCATGGAAGCCATCAAACGCCGCGGCCGCTGGGCAGGGGGCACCTCTGTCGAGGTGCGAGAAACGCGCCAGGGTGCAAACGTCGCGGGGGTGCTCGCCCGAGCCGGCGCGCGACTACGGCCGCGCCATCGGCAGCGAGCTGCAGGGCCTACTCTTGCTGAAGGCAAGGCCGCCGCCGCCGCCAGGTCTTGGCGGGGGGGGCGTGCTCGCGAGCAAGTGAGATGGCCCTCTCCACAGAGGCCGGGGGGATCATGGCGCGGGACTGGATGGACATTTACCTGCGCGCGCAATTCGAGTAAGGCTTCGGGCACTTTTTCAGTGTGCTTCCTGGGACAGTCACGACAAAGTGTTTATTCTCATTTGTTCTCGGGCACACGCGCCATCTCCATTTGCTTGAGATCAAAGAATGAATCGTGCATCTGTTCCGACTCGCTCGATGGGCCAGAGCTCGACTTGACCAGCGCTGTGGTCATTGACGCTTTCTTGGCTGGATACAGGCTGGCTTGGCGAAGGCTGTGATCTGCGCCTTCTCGCGCTGCAGCTGGGCGCCCGCGTTGTTCGAGCAGATCCGCAAATCATGGCGCCCTCGCGGGATTCCCGGCCCCGCGCCGGCAGAAGCTGCTGGCTGAGAATTGGGAGTGGGGGCTCTGAGGGTCACTGGTAGGCTTGCCAGGGCGTGGCGCCGCGTCCCTGTTCTTCTCGAGAGCCCACGTGCTTCCGAAACGTGGCGTGACGCGCGCATGCCGGCTTTGATGGGCCATCATTATTGCGGGCAGCTCGTCGTTGACCAGCGTGCCTTTGGGGCTCGCTGGCGTAAGAGAGCTCGACTTGTAGGTTGGCGCTTCCCGATGTTCCGACAATATAACGTTATTTGTACGGGCCACGGGTGTTGTGGCTTCAATCTCAACCCTCGTGTCGTTCTGCGGGGCGAAGCCTCTGGCTCGGGCATAAGTTTAACCGATCTCGCGGCTTTTTGTCCGAAGAGGGTGTCAACCGCGATCGCGATTTGGCTCCTAGGATTCGTTGAGGCTCTGCGAGGAGGCCATTGAAATCGTTTGTTCGGTTAATGTTTTCACCTCAGGCGGCTCCAGACCACAGTATGTGTCTGGGGTTCGCAGTGTCGTTCTGGCCTTGTGGAGGGCGAGTGCTTGGGCCGTTGCGCTGCTGCCTCGGCCGAAAGTGTTCGAGCTTGAAAGGAGTTCGGCCGTGCATTGTGGTCATGCACAGCTTGACACATGTTGGCCGCGACAGCGCTGAACCTTACTTGCTGTCGCCCGCTTCCTTCTGGCCCAGGGGGGACAGAGATGCTGCAATTCTCCGAGCGTGTTTCTCCTTCCCTGTCGGCCGCAACCGTCTCCGCTCAAGTCTTTCCACCCACCGTCGCCGCCGTTCGCCTAATCGTTGAGGGGTTCGCAGTGTCGTTCTGGCCTCGTGGAAGCCCAGTGCTTGGGCCGTGGCGGTGCCGCCTCGGCCTAGAGCGCTCGAGTTTGGAATGAGTTTCGCTGTGCAGTGTGGTCATGCGCAGCTTCAAACATAATGGATACGACAGCGCTGAATCTTAGCGGCCGTCGCCCGTTTCTGCCGTGCCCATGGGGGGAGAGATGTTGCAGTTGTCCGGGCGTCTTTTCCCTTTTTGTCGGCCGCGAACGTCTCCGTTCAAGTCTTTCCACCCGCCGTCCCCGCCTTTCGCCTAATCGTTGAGGGGTTCGCAGTGTCGTTCTGGCCTCGTGGAGGCCCAATGCTTGGGCCGTGGCGGTGCCGCCTCGGCCGAGAGCGCTCGAACTTGGAATGAGTTTCGCTGTGCAGTGTGGTCATGCACAGGTTGAAAAAGAATGGATGCGACAACGCTGAATCTTAGCGGCTGTCGCCCGTTTCCGTCTGGCCCAGGGGGAAAGAGAGAGAATTCTAGGTTGGCGCATGCGTTCGTGTGCTGGCCATGAAAACCACATCCGCCATTCTATGCCAAGAGCGCGCGCGCGTACCAAGCGCCATCGCGCTCGCTTATCACGCGAACACGTTGAGCCTACCAATGAGGACAGCTGGCCTGCACCGTACAGGCATAATGCGTGTGTATTACAAGACGGCACAACAGTCCTACGACGTAAGTGCAACATTTTGTTTTGTGTATTCGGAAACTACTCAGTGTCATAATGCGGCACGCCTTCCGACCACGGACTCGTAGATGCATAGTTCTGGCCACGCATACCTGCCAGACGAGTACGCACGCCGATCACACAACGAGGTGTGTGGTTTTGCAAGGCGAAGTAAACATTAAGCCCGATTGGACCAAGGGTTATTCCTTGAACTCCTATTTGTTACCAGCGGGATTCCAACATGTTTTCTTCGGATTCCTTGTGGTTCTCAGGATTCTAGGAGGCGGAGCTCCGATTGGTTCCTACGGGTCTCCCGTGTGTTCCATCGCGTTGGATCTAGGTGGGGACAGGGTGGGGCAGTGGGTCGGGGTTGGCGGGGGTACGGGGGGTAGGAAACCACACATGAAAATATGGATGCTCTCCTGCGGGAACGCATCATGGCATAGCTTCAAGCACGACTCTGCCCTCACCGTGCACGCATATGTAAGTGCGAACGTGGACCTTTGTAATTGTGCACATGCACGTATGTATGTGTATGTCGGTATGCATTTGTATGCATGTGCGCGGTCGTGTACATGATGTCAAGGGTGACGACCAACTGCTCATTCCGTGCTGACTCCACTTCTCGGCATCACGGCGCGGGGAAATCATTCGGATTTTTGTTTAGAGTGGCAAGTACTTCACAGCCTTTCTCTTCAAGTTTCTGAGACACCCCCTTCAGCCGGGGAGCGAACACCTCAACAAGGAAGGGAACCTCTCAAGGAAGAGAGTGGCGGCGGCGGCGAAGGAGGCGGCGGACAATGAGGATATCGAGGAGGGCTGCGGATTCGAAGGGGGAGGATGAGGCGGAGGAGGTCACAGCCCATCAAACCACCCCAACCCAACCCGACGGCCCCGATTTGCCCTCCATGTCCAGGGGGGGGGGGTCAGGGAACATGGAAACAACACACATGAAGTCCGTACCACCCCAACCCGAAATTCGGGCGAAATTCGGGTCCTCGGGTTGGGTTGTGGTGGTCTGGTAGGCAGTCAGGAGGGAGAGGAAGGGGGAGGGATGCGTTCGTCTGCGGCCACCTGTGGGGCCCCATCTCTCCTGAGGGGTGGCCTCCGGACCACCGCGGGCACCCCGAGCGTGTGCGCACAGTTTGGCGGGGTGCGTGCCTGAGGGCAGGGAGTGGGTGATGGCCACCGCCCTTCTCTTCGGGCCGCAACGTTTCGGGAAGCGCAAACGTGGATTGAGGCGCGTGGATCAGCGGCCGGTCCCGTCCGCATGCAGAATGGGCGCGGTCCGTTGCTAAAACAGGCGGCCCTGGCGACATGTTTCGGGGGGTACCTTCCCCGATCCGTGGATCTGTCGCCCGCGCGCCAGACTCACGTGTCCCTACTCCATGTGAGCATGCGCGCGACACGTGGGCGTTCGAGCACAACTAGCCGTTTTGGCTGAGGAGTCCGTTTTTTCTCCTCCCCAATCTTCGTTCTCTGTCTCCCCTCTCCCCCTTACACCCCCTCTCTACAGCCACCCAATCTTAATTCTACTCTCTTCTCTCCCCCGACGATGGCCGGGAAGTATCCCGCCCCCCCCGCGTTTTTTTTGCGCACAGGATGTGGCCATTTGATCGGAGGTTGGGGGGTGGGATCGCCTTGGGACGGACAGCGCCCCACCTGGAAATCGGTTCGGGTTTCGCGTTCGTGCCGTGCATGCGGGCGAGGCGAAGCTGCGTGGGCGCACAGGAGGGATAACCCCGCCGTCGCTAGGGCGGTTCGGATGCAGTGGACCGCCCCTCGGCCCGTGGTGGGCGCGCGGTGGCCCAGGGTGTCCTGTCATGTTGTCCTGTGGTGTCCCGTTGGTGTCCTGTTGGTCTCTCGCCGGTGGTCCGTCGGCGATGGGCGGGCGGTGGCCCCGGGTGTCCCGCCCTGGATTCGATAGTGAAGTCGATAGTGATATCTATCATGAGATCACCTGAATGGGATGGATAGTGGGATCAAGAGTGACAGTAAGGTTGATTGTGACATTGGTTGTGAGATTGACTGACATCGATAGGAATCGGTAGTGAGATCGAACGCGGGGTCGATCGTGATATCGACCGCAATAATTATCTATAGTGAGGTCAAGAGTGAGGTCGATCGTGAGATCAAGAATGAGATCGACCGATTGTGATCGATCCTGTGAGGGCGTTAGTGGGATCGGTCGAGATCGAAAGCGGGGACGATAGTGGCATTACATCGCAGCGCAATATCGTCATCACGCGTCGTCGCTAACTCGAGGGCGCGTCACTAGCATCGTCATCACCACACCCATCACAATGGCCATCAGTTGTTTTTCTCCCCTCCACCCCCCAACCTCCTTATCACCCGCAGGGTGGTTGTAGAAGTATTTCCCATGTTCCTTTCAATCGGAGCGTCTCTGGTGTCTCAAAATGGTGCTGCCGCAGCAGTGAGACTTGCGCTCTTGCCCTGGCGCGGGCCACTTTTCTGGATCCGAGTTCTTCCTGATCGTTGTTGCCACCCTCGTTTCCCTTCCTCCGCCTTCCCTTGTCCCTCCCTCTCCCCCCGCTCCTTCCACTCCAGTTCCCGCTGCTGCTGTTTGTCCTCGTCTTCCTCCTTCCTCCTCCTCCTCCTTCTTTATCCCCCCCTCCTCCTCCTCCTCCTCCTCCTCCTCCTCCTCCTTCTCATCCTCCTGCTCATTGTGAAACGCGTCCGCGGACAGAGACGGGTCGGCGCCATGCGAAGGGATGGGCGGCGGGAGGGGCAGGATGCCGGATGTGGCGCGAGAGCGCTCCGCTTGCCTCGCGCCCCTCGGCGCCCCGCCCACCCCTGCCCCTGCCCGAGGCCACTCCCTTGAAGCCGGGCCTGTCCCTCTACAGGGGGAATGTTCCAACATAGCAACACAAATAGTCCAGGGACGATTTTTACATGTGTATATATATATATATATATAAAGTTTTTTCACCCAACATCCGCCTGTAGGAGGACAGGCCCGACTTAACACTCCCTCCCCCTCCCCTCCAGGGCTCATTTCGATTCCCCCGATTCGGTTTGCTTCGGTTTCGCTGGATGCCGATTCCGATTC